TTGGGGTGCTCAAACTTCACCTCCTAAGATCGGTAACAGAGAGTTTGGGGTGCTCAAACTTCACCTCCTAAGACTGGTAACAGAGAGTTACAGGTATTCCCCAATTCCAAATCGTAAATACTCGTTGACCAAAATAGTTGCAACTGATATTTTAGGATATAGTATAAAATGTAGTAATTTTAATTAATAGATTGAAATAGCAATTACTAGCTAGATTTGGACTACTCACCGGATTTACAAGGTCCTGTTGATCTGACTTGGAGACCATCTTGCCACTTATGCCTTGCTTCAATCAATTGACATTCATTTTTGTAAGTCTGACCATCGCTTCCACAAACGGGTTCCTGATTAATACAAACACAGAGAGCCTCCGGGGGATCTACAGGAGGCAAGTCTGTTCTCAACCTACACTCCAGTTTCTCCCCACAATAGCCAAACGTGTTTTTATAAGGAAGAGGAAGAGTATCGTTATCACATCGTTCACCTTCCGTCAGACCACACACCTGACAACAACCACAGTGATCCTTCACCATACCTGCCATACATCCCACTGGCACTGGACAGGCTGTGGGGTCGCAGACCCCACATTTTTCTTTCTCTAAAGTTGCCTTCACATTAACAGTCAGCCCAATCAGAAATAAAGCCTGCATGAAAATTAACCAGTTTAGTTTCATATTAAGCCCTGAACAATGCTACTTGATGTAATTCACCTTGAAACTCGATGTCCTTTGCCTCTCGTATCGATCTAAAAGACACACACATACGCGCAAGCTTATCAAATGGTACACTATGAAAGTTTTACGTGAAGAGAGCGCTACTTAAAAGTTTTAATGATATTTTAGTAAATGTGAAACATGGGTTCGCGCATGTCTAATACAATTATGGTTGCTTAACAAGTCTTTTGCTTACGATTCCACCTACGTATACTACTATACAAGCTGATGTTAAAAAAAAAAATATTAACGTGCTAAGTCATTATGGCCATAACAATTTCCTGATTGGGCAGCTGTGGGTCTTTCACTATGAAAAAAATACTCGCGTCCTGCTTCGAGCCGTACACCTACTTATCCGACAAATAACATTTCAGCCAGTCTGTCAGACCACTTAATTTCGTTGTGTAAAATATACTGTACTTCCTTGTCATATACTGCTTAATCTATCTACTGTATATAATGGTTTTACGTTTTATTCTCTAGTTATATCTAAGATTTATACGTAACAGTTTTATTGTTCAGTATAATCACTACATTAACACATCGTGTTAGTTTGTCATTAAGCACAAAGCTACACAATGGACTATCTGTGCTCTGCCCACCACGGGTATGGAAACCCGGATTCTAGCGTTATAAGTTCGCAGACATAATCAAATGACAAAGTATCACATGTTAAAATAAGTTGGTTTTCTAATGTTATTGCAACAGCCTGTGCGTTACAATTCGGGATAAAATGTGTACATTCGGCACACTGGGGGATTAATGTCTCATTTTCTCTGACGTCTATGATCATGAGTTAGTTTGACTTGTCTACAAAAAAAAAAGTAATAACAAAAACTGCAGGTTGCTCTATAGTTTGTTCCTTTATAGTTTGGTATAAGGTTTGTAGGTAAATAGATACATTGTGCAATGCTTTCTGGTTGTTTTTATTGTTTACAATTTATTATATACAAATCAATCTATTACTGGATATTTTATGTTTTTGTGAAACTAGTAAAAGTGAGCTGGGTGTGGCCAAGTGGTTGGAGTGCTTAGACTGTAAATCTGAGAATTCGTGATTAGCTTTTCTTTACTACAAAAACGTGTTTACATTTTCGTAGATGCTCTATAAGAGATCACACTATTCAGTCAGAGAAGAATGGTTTAACGGTTGGCGGTGGGTGCTGTTAACAAGTTGCCTTCCCTCTAGTCAGTTAGTTCAGAATTAGAGATGGTTATCCTCAGATTATCCTCATGTAGTTTTGCGTGAAAATACTTAATATACAAATCTGTTTACGTTGTAGCACAATGTTAAACTTACTCATTTCACACTTCTGAGATTTTTTTTCAGTATACATTTTCAAGTTTTATTTATAATCAAAAGTTATTAGTAATTATAAAATATTCATAAATCATCTCATTATCAGCTAGGCTGATATTACACTTTAATCATTTTGTATGAAATTTTAGTGAACAGACATGTTAATTTACTATGCTTTAAGATTTATCGCTTGTTGGAAACCCGGAAACTACTGAGTAAATAAAAAACATTAGGTCGTCAAGAAATTAATGTCACTTTTTTTAAGATGAAAAACTCGATCTTATATATCAAAACAAAACATTTATTAAATGAAATAGTCTCTATTCTTATCGATGGTGCTTTTCCATCTTACAGTCAGGTTGTTAATGCTCTGATTAAAGAAATCACTTGGCTTTGAAGCAAAAAACATGTTGTTGTCCTCTTTAACACCTTCCATACTTGTATACGTTTTCCTATTAAGATGGTGTTACAGCGAACGAAAAAGATGGTAATCTGATGGTGCCATATCTGGAGAATATGGTGGGGGGAAAACTTCCCAACCCAACACCAATAATCTTGTGTTGCGTCAAACGTGCCATATGTGGACGTGCATTGTCGTGGCGGAGAAGAAGAACACCTTTCCGATTGACGAGTGAAGGACTTGATTTAAATGTTCCAGTTGCTGACTATTGATCTCTGCATTGACATTTCGCTGTGGATTGAGGAGTTCGAAATAAATTACTCCTTTGATGTCTCCCCAATTGCAGAGCATTACTTTTTGCGGATGGAGTCCAGGTTTTTGGGTCGGAAGTGGTTTTTGTCTGGGACTGAGCCATTGTTTTTGGCCTTTAATATTTGCAAAAAGAATCCATTTTTCATCACCGGTGACAGTTCTGTCTAAAAATGGTTTACGCGCATTATGAGCCAGAAGAGATGAAGCAACGTGCATACGTTGGAAACGATTATCATTTGAGAGTTCGTGAGGTACCCAAACACCTTCTTTAAGAAGTTTCCCATATTCTTTAGATGTTTACGTATTGTGTCATGAGAGGCATGCAATTTCAAGGCCATTTCACGAGTGTGTTGCCTTGGGTTAGACTCAACAAGCGTTTTCAGAGC